TCACACCTCCCAATCCAATCCTCATACTCCCAATCCTCAATCTCATCATCCGCGTCCGCAAATTCCCCCTCATCATCTACCGTTACGAGTTAAATTACTGCCACACCATCCTCATCTATCTCATTCTAATATCCAGAAAAAAAGAGAAGCACAAGTACCGTCAAATCCAGACCCAGCTCGCACATAACGACGGATTCCACCATCAGTTAACACTCCTTACCTAATACAAGAACCTATCCTAAATCCACTTCACAACCAACATCCATCTGACATAACTTCCATACTATCATCCTTCCTATTGGACCTCCAACACTATAAAACCTCTTATCACTCTACTCACCAGAATCTTGATCGAAATCTCGTTTAATTTCCCTCGATAAGCACAAAGCCCCTAACTATCCTTCATGGAACGCTAACGGACAAGACAACCACCGAGACGAACTTGACATATTTCTTCATGACAAACACATTGACATTTCTCTACTGACTGAAACTCATTTCACTAAACGGACATATTTTCACATACGAGACTACATCACTTCTAGATCTGACCACCCAGACAACACTGTCCACGCCGGTTCTTGCACCCTTATACATAAATCTTTGCCCCATTCCCTTATTCCTTTCACTCCAACTGATGCCATTCAATCAACACCTGTAATCCTTTCAACTCGCCCTTTCCATATCACATTATCAGCTGTATACTGTCCTCCTGGTAATTCCTTCTCCTATAACCTCCTTGATTCCTTATTCCAATCCCTCGAATCACGCTTTATTGCTGGAGGAGATTACAATGCTTAACACCAAAGATGGGGTTGTGGAACATCCAACTCCCGCGGTAACATCCTTTCAAATGTCTCATCTTCCAATAGTTATTCAATCCTCTCGCCCATGAATTCTACATATTGGCCAACAGCATTCAAAAAACGTCCCGATATCCTGGATATATTTATCACCTCCCACATTTCCTCCTCTCAAACCATAATCAACTCCCTGGATAACCTTTCCTCAGACCATAGTCTAGTTCTGCTTCCAATACATTCAAACTATACTCCTAAATTGATTACAGGCCGAGTAAACTGGGACGAATTTCGTGATGATTTGGAAAACAAGCTAGACCTAAAAATTCCGCTAAAGACAAAAGAAGACATTAATGTAGGCATAGAAAAACTAACTGTATCAATAACATATAGCATAAATAATAACACCTTCATTAGTAAAATTGACAATTCACAAAAGACTAACTTGCCACAGCATATTCGAATCTTATTAAAGGAAAAACACAGAGCAAGATCGAAGTCGCATAGAACTAGGTATCCGGCAGATAAAGCTCATTACACCCAACTGACTAACAAACTAAAATCAGAAATTAAAAAATACAAAATTCAAAACTTACTAAATGTTATATTGAAAAACTTTCACCTACCGACAAATCACTATGGACCACCACTAAAAGGCTCCTGATATTTAAAAAGTGTAATCATCCACTTCTTACCGAAGCCCAAACCTGGTCCAAATCCGACGAAGAAAAGTCCCTAATATTTGACCACCACATCTTCAAAACCTTTAGTCCACATTCGGATAATCTTAACCCAAACCATCTTGAATGTATTGAAGCAGAACTGGATCTCACCCTCCAAATGGCTCTTCTACCTAAAGCCTTTCATCTTTCAGAAATATCTAATATTATTCACAGATTATCTTCCCGTAAAGCTCCTGGACACGACCTAATTACATCTCAGATCCAAAAATTACTTCCTCGGAAAGCCATTCTATTCCTTACTTATATATTTATATATAATGCTATACTCCGATCCACATATTTCCCTGACCCTTTCTATAATCAAAATGATACACAAACCCCAAAACCCAGAATACTCATCCTCTTACTGTCCTATCTCCCTTTTACCCATCATGGGCTAAATCCTGGAAAAACTCATCTTAAAACGTCTGTATATCATCCTAGATTCTAATCAAATAATCCCAGATCACCAGATCACTCATTATCCGTTCCTATCTTACTGATAGATACTCCAAAGTCAATAACAATAATGCTTATTCATCCCTCTTTTCCCCGTCCGCTGGTGTTCATCAAGGTAGTATCTTTGGTCCTATCCTTTACACAGTTTATACAGCTGACATCCCAACCCATCCCAACACTGTCATTACCACGTATGCCGATGACACATATGTTATATCAGTTAATAATGACCCAATAATTGCATCCCAAACTCTCCAATCACACATCACAAACCTCGAAGAATGGTGCCAAAAATGGAGGATTAAAATAAACTCCAATAAATCCCGTCAAATCACCTTTACACTTCGTCGTAAACCTATGACTTCCTGTCCTTCAGTATCCTTTAATAATATCCCGCTTATCCCCCCCCTTATTGCACTTACTAGACACACGCTCTAAGCTTCCAGTTAATTACAAAAGACTCATATACATGACTACAATAAGACCTATCTGGACATACGGAGTTGAGATTTGGGTGTCAACAAATCCATCGAATTCCTCTCGCATAAAATCCTTACAATCCAAAATCCTCAAAGCTCCTTACTTTGTCACTAATAAAATCATCCATAAAGACCTTAATATTCCTTATATTTCCGATTGGGCCCAATCCAGATACCTATCTTTCCATAACAAACTTTAGAAACATCCGAATCCTATCGTCTCTAACCTTGCTTCCTCGTCTATTCCTGATAACCCTCCGAGGCGTCTGAAATGCAAAACACCAGCAATGGAGAGCTAGGTCCACAAATTCCAAACGGCGAACATTGCTTTCTTCCCTTAATTCCCATCGCAGTAACATCCTTTCACCCAATACTCCTTCATACTAGCCAACAGATCACAAACGCAATCCCAACCTCCTAAACTTTTTCATCCACGAAGATCTAGAATCACTTCCCGCTACCAGGCAGCGCTCTTCAAATAAGCTCGCCCGTACAACATACCAAAAATTGTATCTTTTATTTCTTATTGTTGTGTGGTAAAATGCTTAAATTGTGAATTGAAATATGCGTACACTTTGTAAATGCTTTTTGTCAATAAAGTTTAATGGCGATAACATATACTGACCAAAGCTCAAAAATAACTGCTACTGTAACGGCTTTTGGTAGGTTTAGTCTTGGTGGAATGAATACCGTAATCAAATCTCAAATTGTCAGATCTTAGGATCTCCACCCCTTCAGGGTGTAGACTAGCACGCAGATGATCAGTATATGCTCCATATACGCTTTTTGGTTCACCTTAGTCTGCTCTTTTACTTCACTGTGTCCAATAAACTTTTTCCTCTTCTCTTACTCCATGCAAGTCTGGATGCTGATCTGTCCGTTTGCAGTCCTATATACTGAATCAGGAGATTGATCCCTCTGGTTGTGGTTACCATTCTTAAGTGGGTGAGTGTTAAGCTTGATATCTTACACCGCAGACCGAGAGCGATTGGATGCTGATCAGCCTGTCACTTAAGGTCATCCTTCTATACATTTTCCTTCATCCAATCAGTAATCTTACCCTCATCAATACTGAACATGCACTGTCGAGGCTTTCTGGTAACTGCATACTTTCTACATACATACCTCGACAACTTCATTATTCCATTTCAAGGCTTGATGATCTTTCCTTAGACCATAGTTCTCTAATCCCAAACCTTTCCACATCGCCAATTTCCAAATCATCTCCATCTTCATTTATCAGAGGGCCAGTTAACTGGAACCTTTTTCTTCAAATACTGAATGCAAATATAGACCTAAGAGTTTCCTTAAAAACACCTTAATACCTTGAAGATGAAGTGTAATTCTTCACTATCTTAATCCAGCAAACAGTTTGAACTGCATTCTCACCTGATAATCCTAAAAAATACCGTAAGATAAATCCTCTCCATCAAGACCTTTCGAAACTTATCCACAGCAAACGATGCTCCACAGCCCTCGGTTGAGAAAACAGACATCTTGATGACCGAAAATTATATAATTACTATTCCAAACAAGTAAAAAAGAAACTGAATACCTTTAGATTCCAATCCTACAATTCCCACCTTTCCTCACTATCTGCAAGTGATAACTTTCTCTGGAATGTAACTAAAAAAAAAAAAACATTGAATTCCACCGTGGTGATAGTTCCTGGACTTCGTCAGATTAAAATAGAGCAGAAGAGTTTGTTAAACATCTATCCCACACATTCACTCCCCATCCCCAACCCTCCAAATATAATGTAATAATAATTTAATAATGTTAATAATAATTTAGGATAATAGTTTATTTATGTTAACTTTGTATTTTCATTGTCTGAAACCCCTAACCAACATCTCTTCAATAAATATCGTTAGATCGTGACGGCTTAGTAGAGTGCCCGGTTCGGAACGTTGTGGGTTTCGATCCCCTCCTGAGTCAGTTAATAATTTATGAATATTGATGATCTAACACTGATTAGTACAGGGCGATTACTAACGACTAGGTAGCCGCCAGGGGCTAGCAAAAATGTACCACAAGAATGGGTACCCCTAAATGGAGATTGTTTATTTGTACTCTAGGAAATTGCAGTGTCGGTATTAGACATTCCTGCCCCTATATTATTCATCCATTATGTCATGAACGATCCCTCCCCCCCTCTTCACGGGAAAAAATTCATTTCGAAAGAGAAAATTAGCACTTGTGAAAGAGATTATATATTATATTTTATTGAATATATATGTAATTCAGTTGCTTAGTTAATAGACTTTGTAATAATTCATAATTCCCAATCACAGCCGGATACCCCTCTCTAGATAGGTGCCCAGATAAATTGATTCGGTTATCTTACCGACGCGATGACCCTGTGTTGACCTAATGATAGCAGATTAATTCTCGCTAAATATTATAATAATATATATTTTTATAAAAACATACAAGTTGAATTTAAAATAAACATGTCATTCAACCATTACCAAAAAAAAAAAAAAACCTTTCTTATTTCACTGAGATTTTCTTAAATAAAATATCTAGCATTAAATTACCATCCGCCTATAGCAGCATTAACCATTTCAGTTGGGCCAAGTGGATCCCCAATTCTCTCAGTAATTTCTCTTGCAAATGTATCATCTTCGGTATAGATTTTTGATTCAGTATCTGAAAGAAGGTTTTATCGGAGTGGTACATTAGTTTAAAAAAAAGGATTAATTGAATTTTAATTAAATAACATTGTAATTATAATATAAAGTATTAAATTGACTGCATACCAAAAACTGGTGTACTGCTTCTCCTGGGACATGGTGACGATGTTTCCATCTTTGGACATGGTAATTGACTGCTCTTCCTTGGAGATTGTGAAGGCGTAATTCTTCTTGGACATAGTGACGATGTACGCCTCTTTCCAGATTGTGACGACATACTCATATTTGCACATGATGACGCTACGAAACAGCTCCTGGGACGTATGGTGTCCGATGACGATCTTATAGATGATATTGATGTTCTGTTACATGGACTTGGTGACGTTGTTCTTTCCCTTGAACATGTTGGAAGTGTGCTCTTGCTTGGGCATGGTGACAATGTTCTCCTCCTTGGACATGGTAATTGAGTGCTCTTCCTTGGAGATTGTGAAGGTGTAATTTTTCTTGGACATGGTGATGATGTACGCTTCTTCTCACATGGTGACGACATACGCATCTTTGCACACGATGACGCTACGTAACGGCTCCTGAGACGTAGTGATTCCGATGACGATTCTGCTGATGGTATTGGAGTTCTGTCCCATGGACATGGTGACTTTGTTCTTTTCCTTGAACATGTTGGTAGTGTGCTCTTGCTTGGGCATGGTGACGATGTACGCTTCTTCTCACATGGTGACTTTGTTCTTTTCCTTGAACATGTTGGTAGTGTGCTCTTGCTTGGGCATGGTGACGATGTACGCTTCTTCTCACATGGTGACTTTGTTCTTTTCCTTGAACATGTTGGTAGTGTGCTCTTGCTTGCACATGGTGAAGATGTACGCTTCTTCTCACATGGTGACTTTGTTCTTTTCCTTGAACATGTTGGTAGTGTGCTCTTGCTTGCACATGGTGAAGATGTACGCTTCTTCCCACATGGTGAGGATTTACGTCTCTTTGCACATGATGACTTTATGACACGTCTGCTGGGTCGTGGTGATTTCGATGATCTTCTGGAAGACTTTGATTTACGCTTTCTTGGACTTTTGGATGATTTTGTACTTCGTCTACATGGGGCTGACCTTTTCTTCCTCTTACTTGATGATGGTGTACTCTGAAATGATGAACTAGGAGAGAAATCTTGATCTCTTGTTTCTGAAATATCTTGTTCCATTGATAGACCGAGGCCAGCAAGCCTAAAAATAAATAACATCATTATATTGAAGGTTAGGTTCTAATATCATCCACTCTTACAGTATAATTGATTAAACATCGGATTGAAAATACTTAAGTGTATCTGCATTACAATAAAAATATATTTAAAATAAACCATACGAAGTGAAAAAATTCTAGTGAGATGTATCAAATAACTTCAACCATCATAATTTCAATTAAAATTATTTTTTTTATAAAATTAATAAGCCTGATGAATACTTATTTAATTGTAAATACAAACATTACATAATTAATACATTTTATGACAATGCTATGAAATTTATATTTTTTTGGTAATCAATCTGAAAAAACAATTAGTTTTTCATATATTTTTATGGAAATTCCAATTAATTTTTATATGAACATTTACTTTCCCTTCAATGATATAAAAGTAGATATTATTAACTACTTCTATGACTGCTTATGTTAGATATTCTTTTATCTAAAATGTTTAGTTTTCCACTTTGAAAGCAACGAAAGTATTTCTCCAATCGTGTCATTTAAATATTATTACCCATATTACCAATTTTATGTTACTTCTAATAATGAAAGAATTTTAATTGATTATAATGAACAAAATTAAAAGTACTTTAGATTGATAATAAACGCCATTCGATTTTACATAGATGGAATTAGTCTCATCAAAATCATTAAAGAAATAAGTCCATTTTAACGAAATAGTTTTGTAATATCTCAGCATTAACCTAACTGCAATACGTAATTTTATATCGTACAACTTTTGCTTTTGAGCTGGGCTGTTTACAAACATAAACACACACTTACTTAATTGTTTAGACCCTGGGAACCTTTAAGCATACATTTTAATTGAAAAATCAGTTTTGAAATTTTATAACCACACTACAATAAATCAAATCTTGCAATAAAATTATTTTTAATTTTGTGAAATTTTTATTCCATTTTGACATTTATTTTAAAAAAAATGGTTGTTTAACTACTTTGTGCCACCACTTAATCTCTACTCATATATAGGAATTTGAAAGTATAATTATTTATGGCACCGTTAGTATTCCCTTTAATCATATTTATAAAAATCCAATTGCCTAGAAAAAGAAATGGTTATTAAAAATGAAAATTAAGATCTTTTGCCGTTTTAAGTGTATTACCACAACATCCAGTATGTTGTGATAATTTATTTTACTGTACAATTTTTATTTGTAGATTATGCCAAACTAAAAAAATATTGGCACGTAAGTAACAAATCTTTTATTTTAAAACCACTACAAAATCTTCGCTAGCTTTCCACATCATAAGCATAAATTACACAACTCTCAAAATACAATATCCACTTATAGGTTCGAACATTTCGAAAAATCCTTTTTTTTTCTTTTCGCCTTCTGGACCCCTTTGTGCCAGTGAAATAAGTATTATAAAATTCTGTAATAATGTATAGTTAATTTTGAATTTAATTACCATTTGGCGAGTAAGGCCTTATTTTCTGCGTTATTGAGGTCTGTACTAGACTTCTTTTTGCTAGATTTCCTCCTTGTAGTTATCACATTTGGTATCGAATCTGAAACATAATGATAAATCATTCATTAATACATAGTAACAGATGGATTCAATTCAAATACGATTAGGACTTCGTATAAAAATATAAATACTTAATTTTTATTACATTTGCATTAAAGTACTCAGAGAAAGAGTCATATTCCGTTACACTGCCATTTTTTAAGTATGCATCAGAAACGCCCATCCCTCCCAAGGTCTATGATACAAGTTTTCTTACAAGAAATTTTATAACTTTTCCCTTCTTAAAAATAGTGCATGCAAAATTACAATAGGAAAAAACCATAGATGATAAACAATAACACTTGCTCTGTCTGTTTCCGTATAAAAGTTGTACCAAAATCAACACCCAAAATTTAGAACCTCATGTGTTCCCCTCTTAAATTCAAAATGTGCCTCATCAAAAATTGTTATGGTGCCATTAAACCCCCTTCTGGGAACCCCTGCTTTTACACCACAATAAATCAACTCTTGCAATAGAACACTTTTTAATTTGGAGAAGTTTTTATTCCCTTCTGACATTTTTTTGTATGAAATAGGTTGTACAACTACTTTGTGCCACCACTTAATCTCTACATCACCCACCACGGACCTAATAAAAACTTGACTTCGACTTCTCAAGTCATGAGTCTTCTTCAGCAGCTTGGGGCTGTTATAAGCGACAGTGGTGATTTTTTTGTTCTCTCTTCTTCGAGATATCCCGGGAGCACATGGTTTACTAACCGGACCCGATCACATTTCACTCCCTCTTCATCAGAAACTTTCCTGCAGGATGGTTGGCAATCTTTTGCTTCAATCTTCCACCAAGTTTTTCATGAGATAGGGGATTATCAGCCATATACCCAACCCCCAATCTTAGAGGACCAGGATCTATGGTTTAAGACACAGGAGTCGCTTACCTCCCAATGAATCTCAGGGTGGGGACGTTACTGTCTCCATGTGGGAATTGAACCAGCGCCGTAGTGGTCTAAGTAGTCGAGTAGAGCCTGCACTTAATTATTTTAATTTATTATACATTATTTTACTAGTTTTTTGTTTTATAAATTCCGCAAACGGGATTTGAACATTTTTTTTTTGCAGGCGCCTTAACACGCTCGATCACCGCGGCCTCTAATATACTTAAGACATATCTTTTACGAATCAATAATATTGTTTCAATGTAAAATGAGTTACCAGATTACCAGATCTTGCTTTCGCCAAAGAAGTATTTACAAGGATAGGATAGAAGGTATATCAGATATTTCAACCTTTTTTTTTTTGGTGATACTACATCAAAAAATATTAGACACATATTCCGCAGTTATTTCCAATGGGCCCCAGGAGCCGAAGGAAAAAAGATTTTATATGATTTCAAACAAAAATTTATATATTTTTATTTTTGCTTTTGCTTTTTAGGTTACTATATAGTAACCGTTTTGTTTTTTTGGTGGAGAATAGGCAAAAAATATTGTATTAAATGAGTTATAATGTATCATAAATTATTAAAACCAAAAGGCGCTACTAGTAAGGTAGACCATATAAATTTTTATTATGAAAAAGCAAGTTAGATTCGCTTATTATAGTGTCCTTTGAAACTCTTAAATACGAATCTTTATAGAAATCAAAAAATGAACACTTTAATATTTGATTTTCTAAGAAGATTTATTTTTTTTTATTATTTTTTTTTTTTTTGTTTGGCCGATAACTAAAGCATTCATAACTTCTCAGGATTTTCTCCAAATTCAACGTTAGTACAACCGTTAGAAAGCTGAATTACTATCCTTCCAGTCCACACCAATAACTTTTATAGTTCATTAATTTTTAAATTATAAATTAAGAAAAACTTCCCAATCATTTTTATTTTTATCTTTTATTCTTATTTGTTTAGGGTAGTCGATTTTGTATCGTTACATGTAGCATATTGAGCTCTAAATCCCAATTGATTTTTGTATGGATGGGTGGAGCCATTCTAAAGTTACTACAAGTTTTGTGGTTATTGACGAAATTTCGAAGGGTAGGCAAAAACTTCGTGCAGAAAATTTTAATTTTCCGATTGCTATAAAAATTGGTATTTAATACTATTTGGGGTGCGAAAAACGAATATCAACTTTGTTTCTCTCTAAAAAATTATTTACACTAGATACTAGCCCGGTATTTAATAAATACTATATTTGGTACATAGGTACATTGACAGTGGGCTGTTCAAGCAATCAAGCGGGTCAAAAGTCCTTAAAAATTGGGTTTTTTGTTTGTTCAAAGTTATATCTAAACTCACAGATTTTAAGATAACTCACAGAGTTAAAGATAAATTCACAATATATATCATTCCGGAAACCAGCGAAGAAGAAATTAGTACAATGCAAAAAAAAGTTTAACACAAAGTTACCATAAAAAAATCATTTATTTTTTAGATTAATATATTATTAAGTATTTTTTATCTATGTAATACATTACTAAATCAGTAAAAAATTACTAAACATGTAAAAAAGGATTATAATGGAAAAACTATAAATATGTCCAACTCACTGCCATCATCGCTGCTGCTCATGTTGTCTAATTAAAATGAAAAAATATTATGTAACTGAATTCTATGGAATAAGGAATTGAGCTAGGTATTTATGAAAAGATCATAACTTTTAGAAATTGGATATATATATATATATATATATATATATATATATATATATATATATATATAATATATATATATATATATATATATATATATATATATATATATATATATATATACATATATATTTTTTTTTTCTGTGGCCATTACAGACCATGTAGATCTTTTGCCACCTTAACAAGTCTGCTCCATCTCTGCCTGTCTTGGGCTATTTCTTTTCAGTTATCTGCACCCAGCTCTATTGCATCTTTGTTTATTCTAACTATCTATGAACTTTTTGGACTTCCACGTGGTCTTTTGTCTTCTATTGAGACATTTATTGTTACGTAGAGGCTTCCAGATGAATTGCTACGAGCTACATGCCCCGCCCATCTTAATCCTCGTACCTTCATATCATGGAATATTGATTGACCAGTTTCTGTAAACAGTTCTTTATTGGTCTTTCTATTCCACGTGTTAGTACTCTAATCCCAGATCACTCCGGTTATAATATAACTTATTACTCAACCGAAACTTTTTATGAATTCAGTTCAAACATTTAAATAAGGCTTAACTATTTGTATTGGGCCTCTTTATGCTATACGAAATAATATAAACCCAACCTTTGTAAACAAATTAAAACTAAAGATATAAAATAAAAACGGGTTAGAAGTTTTCTTAAACTCTTTTTTCTAGCTTAAAAAATAATGAAATCCAAAAGTTATCGGTGTCAATTGGAAGATCATAAATTCAGCGTTCCAGCGGTTATATTAAAATTGAATTTTAAGAAAATCTAAAGGAATTATAAATGCTTTAGTTGATGGCCGCAAAAAAAATTCATCCGAGAATAGCTAGTAGTAAAGGTTTTTTTTTTTATTTATTTAACAATTCGTATTTAAGAGCACTAAAAAGCAATCTAATTTGTTTTATCTTATCTTATGATACATTACAACTCATTTAATACAATAGTTAAAATTTTGTTGGGATATGTGTCCAATATTTTTTATTGTAGTATCACCAAAAAAAATTTGGTTGAACTAGGTGACACAAAGGTCTAAATCCTCTCCTTATGAGGACATACTTCTTTGGCGAAAGCAAGATCTGGTAACTCATTTAATATTGACACTATAACATTGAAAATTAATTTATTGTTTGATCTAGAAAGAATTTTTCTATGCATTAAACCTTTTCTAGTTTTAATATGGTTATTTTCTTGTTTCCTTATTGAGACGTCTAACGATAAAAAACGTTACTGTAAAAACATTTGTTTTTAAAATAATAAAAATTGAATAATTTAGGACAAGTCGGTCTGTGTGTTTTGCTGAGCAAATTATTTAATTAGAAAATATTTCCTTCGCCTATAGGATAAACATTAGCATCAAGAATGGGGTTCAAGAACCACGAATTCGCGAGGCAGAACATTGCTGTCTGCACTCAATTCCCACCGTTTCAGCCTTCTTCCACCCAACTCACCTACTGGCCCACTGATAATAACCGCAATCCTGACATCCTTGATTTTTTCATTCACAGTGGTCTAGGTCCCCTAAGTCATTTGCTTACCCGTCTTAACGAACATTCCTCAGATCATAGTTCATTAACACTTCAATTATCAATAGCTCATATTAACTGGAAACGCTTTCATCAAATCCTTTCCAATAAAATTTACCTCAGAATATCCCTGAAAATCCCAGAAGACCTTGATAATGCAGTACATTTCTTTACCACCACTATTCAACAAGCAATCTGAACTGCTTCCTCCCCAAATCTCTCCTCAAACATCCCTAAGAAAAACCATTTACCTCAATACCAAATAGACCTAATTCACATCAAACGCCGTGCTAGAATATTATGGCAGTTGCTCCTATAATTATTACAGTAAACAATTAAAGCAGTAATTGGCCACCTTCAAATCCCAATCCTTCACAACCTACCTTACTTCCCTCTCTGTTCATGATAATTCCCGATGGAAGATCACCAACAACATCCTGAAATCCCATCATATTTCTCAACCCCTCCGTCGACGCGATGGCTCCTGCGCAGCACCTGATGAAGACATAGCTGAGGTTATTCGCCAGAAACCTCTCCAGAACATTCACCTCTCATCCAGAATCCAACTATATCCATACCACAACTGTAGAAGAATTCCTTACATCACACATTCCACTTTCCTTACCCCCTATAGCAGTTAATCCTCCTGAGGTCAAACACCACCTTCAAAAATTTCTCTCCGTAAATGGATAAGACTTATCTCTCAGATCCTCCGACAACTTCCTCTTAAAGCTGTTATATTTCTCACATACTTATACAAAACAATCATAAGAACCACCCACTTTCTTCTTTTGTGGAAACATTCCACTATTATCCTGTTTCTAAAACCAGGCAAACCTCTCAACACTTGCACGTCCTACAGACCA